CCTAGACATTTGAGTATGTCTGTGTACCATATTTTCCTGGGCTAGTTTGGTGCAATGAGAATCACTGGTTGCTTCCCCTGCTCTATTTTTCGAAGCAGTCAAAGCAGAATACGCACTGGAAAATACTGGAACAAGATCCAGGAAAACATGAGAGTCTGATGATGCCAGTGGTGGAGGATCCTAGGTCCTGGCTACAAACAGTGGTAACTTTACCTTGTTGTAGATGGAGGCTAGGATGTCCACATCTGGAGACCCCCATTTCTGACGTAGCACCCTCTAGTGTGCTATGAGAATAGTGTAGTGTATCATAGGTAAAATCATTGTGTATGACTTCTGGTAGTTGTGTGAGTCTGTGATTGAGGTTGGGTTATTGCAGGTAAGCTGGATGACACAACTGGTTGTGGGTCTATCACCTCCTCCTGATGCTGGAGGACCATAGAACCTTCCAGAAGTTGGTAAGCAGGAAGGGGTGGAGGCCTAATCTGCATATTCATGGGGGTCTGGTCAATCACAGCTTTGGAGTACCTGGTAGAGTGGTGGACTGGACTATTAATATGGGAGAGTCAGGCTGACAGGAGAGTTGTGTGAACGATGGAGTGCTGAGGAGACTGTCGGTGCCTGGGAGGGGACCCCTAGGTGTGTGTGGGGGGGTGCCTCCAGGTTGGGCTCGGGCTGGCTCAGGAGGATACATTCAGCAGTAAGGAGTGAATGGGATTGAGACCTGGAGCAACAAGGAGCAAACAGGACAATGTGAGTACAGTGTCACTCTTTGGGATCTACAAGGGGACAGACTGACACACGTAGCAATCTTTCTAAGGACAGCGCTGGGCTCAATCATTTATCCTTGTGGCAGGAGATCTTCTGAGAAACCAGGAGGGCTGGTAGTGCTTGCAGGCTGTGGAGCTGGGAGCAGCTCTAAAGGGGGAGAGAGAGGATGTCCCTGCATGTAGCTATAAGTTAAGTTAATTTTTGAGGGGCTGCTAGTTCATCGCCAATAAAAGGCAGCTGCTACTGATCTGCAACGACTGACGGCTTTCAGGAGAACAGTCAGGGATCTGCCTTTTTACATAGGAAGGAAGTGCCTCCCTTCCATTGATTCATGCCAAACTGTGCATCCCATAATCCCTATTTCCTTGTCCAAGTTGATTTTCGCTAATAAAACAACAAAACCAAGCCCATGAACAGACTGCAAGTCTGTGTGAGAAACACCTGTTGCCTGGCTGTGCAAAGAGAGGCTTAGGGATACCCAATTACACAGTGGCCCTCACGAGGGTAGTGGTGCACTGGCAAAGGTGATTGAAGGTGTCAGAATAAAGGGTCCATTCCTCTTGGTCCAGACAGTGACTGCTAAGGTAATCTTTTCCAAATGTCCACTCCTGGGATGTGAACAGCAGAGATGGCTGGAAAGCATTTCTCTGCCCATGACATCATCAGATTTATTTCCATTATGGCTGTCTGACTCTCGGCACCCCCTTGGCAGGTCATACAGCGCCTTGAAAAAGTATTCCCCTTGAAATTTCCCACATTTTGTCATATTACAACCAAAAACATAAATGTATTTGATTGGGATTTTATGTGATAGATCAACAGAAAGTGGCACATAATTATGAAGTAGAAGGAAAATGATAAATGATTTTCAAAATTTTTTCCAAATAAATATGTGAAAAGTGTGGCGTGCGTTTGTATTCAGCCCCCCGGAGTCAATACTTTGTAGAGCCACCTTTCCTGCAATTACAGATGCAAGTCATTTTGGGGATGTCTCTATCAGCTTTGCACATCTAGTGAAATGTTTGCCCATTTTTCTTTGCAAAATAGCTCAAGTTGTGTCAGATTGGGTGGAGAGCTTCTGTGAACAGCAATTTTCAACTCTTGCCACATATTCTCATTCAGACTTAGGTCTGGACTTTGACTGGGCTATTCTAACACATGAATATGCTTTGATCTAAACCATTCCATTGTAGCTCTGGCTGTATGTTTAGGGTTGTTGTCCTGCTGTCCTGTTCCATCCATCTTCCCATCAACTCTGACCAGCTTCCCTGTCCCTGCTGAAGAAAAGCATCCCCACAACATGATACTGCCACCACCATGTTTCACAGTGGTGATGATGTATTCAGGGTGAGGTGCAGTGTTAGTTTTCTGCCATACATAGTGTTTTGCTTTTAGGCCAAAAAGTTCAATTTTGGTCTCATCTGACCAGAGCACCTTCTTCCATATGTTTGCTGTGTCCCCCACATGGCTTCTCGCAAACTGCAAATGGGACTTCTTATGGCTTTCTTTCAACAACACCTGAGCTGTGGATCTCTGCAGCTCCTCCAGAGTTACCATGGGCCTCATGTCTGCTTCTCTGATTAATGCTCTCCTTCCCCAGCCTGTCAGTTAAGGTGGACGGCCATGTCTTGGTAGGTTTGCAGTTGTGCCTTGCTCTTTCCATTTTAGGATGATGGATTGAACAGTGCTCCGTGAGGAATGCTTAGGAATACTTGGTAATGACTAAGCACATATCTGTGTGAAACGTGTTTACTGTTCTTTGTCCAATGTAGGACCTGTTATGTTTATACTGTATTGTTTGTGAAGACTTCCGTAAAGGATTTTACTGCTGCTACACTGTTGATAGTGCGACCAACCTACTTCTGTCTGCAGCTTGCTATGGGGGCACACACTGATCTGTGTGTCCATTCACACACAGAGCCGTGGCTCGGCCCCACCCCATCTCTCTTCTCATTGGCTCACTGTGATTGACAGCAGTGGGAGCCAATGATTCCCACTGTTGTCTCAGCAAATGAGGAGAGGGAGTTCCAGGATAGCCGAGACTCCAGTGCACATTGCTGGATTGAGATGGGGCTTAGGTGAGTATTAGGGGGGGGCTAGGGGATGCTGCACAGAGAAGGTTTGTTTAAGACTTAGATGGCAGAGTCTACTACTAAAACAGACCACTTTTTGTGAACTCTTTTTCCACTGGATAGAGTTTGGCAATGATTCTTGGTGAAAATATTTTTAGGGATAATCTAACCACTTGGCCTCCAGAGGATTTACCCCCTTCCTGACCAGGCCATTTTTTGTGATACAGCGCTATGTTACTTTAACTGACAATTGCACAGTCATGCAGCATTGCACACAAATTCAATTTCCATTGTTCTTTTCACACGAATAGAGCTTTCTTTTGGTAGTATTTGAACCCCTGTGTGATTTTTATTTTTTGCGCTATAAAAAAAAGGCCAACAATTGAGAAAAAAAACCTATATTTTTGACTTCTTGCTATTAAACATGTCCAGTAAAAAACTTTAAAAAATCAAATTTCGTCACAAATTTAGGCCAAAATGTATTCTGCAACATCTTTGCTAAAATCTCAATACGTGTAAATTAATTGGTTTACATGAAAGTTATAGCGTTTACAAATGGTGGTATATATACTGGAATTTAAAAAAAAATTATTTTTACTAGTAATGGAGGCGATCAGCAACTTATAGCGGGACTGCGGTGGGCATTCTGACACTGCGGGGAACTTACTTGGTGTCCCCAGTGACACCAATACAGTGATCGGTGCTAATAAAAAGCAATGACACTGTATTAATGGCACTGGGCAGGAAGGGGTTAGCATCTGGGACGTTCAGAGGGTTAACTGTGCGCTGTTTCACATTATGTGCTGGTGTGTGTGCTTCACTGTAAGCACACTGCTTTATATGGCTCTCCTATGCCGAGCCATACAAAGCAGTGTGCAGGAGCTGACAGGGGAGAGAACTGTATTGTTTACATACAGTTCTCTTCCCCCGTTGGTAATACTCAGCGATCACTGCGTGCTGGTGAGTAATCACCCGGTGATTGACAGCCGAGGCTGCGAATGGTGGCGTGGGTAGGGGGGTGCGTATATATGTGATTTTGCTCACCCCTGCCACCCTGTAGGAGTATTTCTGCTATAGGGCGGATAGCAAGTGGTTAATTGTCATCTATTGTATTGCCTATTTAACTGTTCATGAATGGAGAATGTCTTTTTAGACTTAGTAGGTCTCTTAGTGCCCAAGGGGGCAAGGCAAGATGGAAGAGAATCAAATGCAACAATGCAAAGGCTTTTGTGCACATTGTGAGCATTTCCATATTGGAAAGCATATACAGTATCTCACAGAAGTGAGTACACCCCTCACATGTTTGTAAATATTTTATTATATCTTTTCATGTGACAACACTGAAGAAATGACACTTTGCTACAATGTAAAGTAGTGAGCGTACAGCTTGTATAACATGTAAATTTTCTGTCCCCTCAAAATAACTCAACACACAGCCATTAACGTCTAAACCGCTGGCAACTAAAGTGAGTACACCCCTAAGTGAAAATGTCCAAATTGGGCCCAAAATGTCAATATTTTTTAATTTGGACACCATTGTTTTCCAGCACTGCCTTAACCCTCTTGGGCATGGAGTTCACCAGAGCTTCACAGGTTGCCACTGAAGTCCTCTTCCACTCCTCCATGACGACATCACGGAGCTGGTGGATGTTAGAGACCTTGCGCTCCTCCACCTTCCATTTGAGGATGCCCCACAGATGCTCAATAGGGTTTAGATCTGGAGACATGCTTGGCCAGTCCATCACCTTTACCCTCAGCTTCTTTAGGAAGGCAGTGGTCATCTTGGAGGTGAGTTTGGGGTCATTATCATGTTGGAATACTGCCCTGCTGCCCAGTCTCCAAAGGGAGGGGATCATGCTCTGCTTCAGTATGTCACAGTACATGTTGGCATTCATGGTTCCCTCAATGAACTGTAGCTCCCCTGTGCCGGCAGCACTCATGCAGCCCCAGACCATGACATTCCTACCACCATGCTTGACTATAGGCAAGACACACTTGTCTTTGTACTCCTCACCTGGTTGCCGCCACACACGCTTGACACCATCTGAACCAAATAAGTTTATCTTGGTCTCATCAGACCACAGGACATGGTTCCAGTAATCCATATCCTTAGTCTGCTTGTCTTCAGCAACTGTTTGCGAGCTTTCTTGTTCATCATATTTAGAAGAGGCTTCCTTTCGGGACGACAGCCATGCAGACCAATTTGATGCAGTGTGCGGCGTATGGTCTGAGCACTGACAGGCTGACCCCTTCAACCTCTGCAGCAATCATACGTCTATTTCCCAAAGACAACCTCTGGATATGACGCTGAGCACGTGCACTCAACGTCTTTGGTCGACCATGGTGAGGCCTGTTCTGAGTGGAACCTGTCCTGTTAAACCGCTGTATGGTCTTGGCCACCGTGCTGCAGCTCAGTTTCAGGGTGAAAGCGATAACATCAAATGTAACACACCCGCTCCCCATTCACACCTGAGACCTTGTAACACTAATGAGTCACATGACACCGGGGAGGGAAAATGGCTAATTGGGCCCAATTTGTACATTGTCACTTAGGGGTGTACTCACTTTTGTTGCCAGTGGTTTAGACATTAATGGCTGTGTGTTGAGTTATTTTGAGGGGACAGCAAATTTACACTGTTATACAAGATGTACACTCACTACTTTACATTGTAGCAAAGTGTCATTTCTTCAGTGTTGTCACATGAAAAGATATCATAAAATATTTACAAAAATGCGAGGGGTGTACTCAGTTCAGGGAGATACTGTAAGCCAAAAGATCAGGTGAATATGGGGCTGGGGGTGAGAAATCTTCCGCAGCCTCCTTTAACACTACCTCTGGGTCTTTTTCGATCCTCTCAATGTCTGTGCCATCTAAAGAAGGTATTTCACTTTTCAACTCTGGCATAGTTGACAGAAGGAGCTTGGCACTTTTGTACTCTGGACAGGGATTGCAGTGAAATCAATTTGCCTTGGTAAGATAGGCATGCAACAAGTAGACCTGAGATAGCGCTAGAGAATTGGATGTAAGAAACAGAGGTAAAATAGGGTTTGCGCTGATGCATGAGAAGCATTGTCAATCTGAGCGAAGGAAATTCCTTGTGTTAAAAAGGGTGGTATGAAATGAGGTTGGGACAAGGGGGAAGGGGGAGGGGTGCAGAAGGGGCATATGCTCTGGGTTCAACGGCTCTGTGTGCAGGAAAGAGGCATACTGGGAGCTCCAGTAGCTCTCATCTGTAGGCCTCCCACTGACAGGGGTTATTGCATTGTCACTCCTGTCAGCAGGGCTTTTTTTTTCCACTAAAGTGCGGTAGTAATTGGTACTCCCATCTCTGGAACTAGTCCTGTGCCGATCTCTGGTTATGAGTAGCAGTGCACCTAAAGTGACAGCACCTCCTCAGTGCAGGAGGAGTGGCATTTGGGAGGCTGGACTATCATGCTGAAGAGCAGGGAACTCTCACACAGCATGACAGCCCAGTTTCCTGACTGCCGCTCCTCCTGCACCGAGGACTGCGTAAATAGCTGGGGGTGGGTGGAAGAGCTCTGTACTGGGATAGGGAAAAGGGGGGGGGGGGGGGGGGGAGTAGTGATTAGCTCATGTGTATTCAGATCAAGTCTTAACCCACCTAAGCTATCAAAGCCGACAGCCAATCATAGGTGGCGGAGGCATTCCCTGTCCTGCAAGGAGCATGTATATGGTATGGGTGACTGTGAGGAAGGAATGTAGGTGGTTATTTTTTTTTTTTTTTTAGTGGGAGGGAATGATGGGGGTAGTTGGGATTGAGGGAAGAGCTCTATACTTTGGAGGCGGAGGTGAGGAGAAAACTATGATGGCACTTCTTTCAGCAACATCACTGATGTTTGGACAATTTTTTTCTTCCAGTGACATCACCGTCCTAGGGACATTTTAGTCCTTCAAGTGACACCACCAACACCGGGGAATTTTTTCCTTCCAGTGACACCACCGACACAGGGACCTTTTTTTTTTCATTCCAATGACACTACCAATTTAGGGACATTTTTTCATTCAAGTGACACCCCTGACACAGAGACCTTTTTTTCCCTCTCAGTTACACCACTGTTAGCTCAATATTTTTGCATAGATCTTAGACTAATCAGTTTACTGCAGTGTACCACATATATTGTTACCATTTCACTGCATGCTACAAACATAATGAACATTTTGGTGTGCACCTCTATTGGTCCCATTCCCTTCTCCACCCAATGGGGAAGCAAGTGTTGCAAGTGCTGAGGTGTGTGCCCCATTCTCCCTCAAAAGGGGAGGAGGGGGAAGGAGAGCACCCAAAATTGTCCCAAACCAGTGAAATCCTGAGAGCTAATCTCCAGATATGGCTGCAAAGAATTCCTCCCTTGACACAAAGGGGAAAACTGTGCCCCTCAAACAGTAGAGATACCAGATAAGGGCAGAGATTCAGAACTAATTTAGTCCCTAGGGGAGCCAATGCAGGGTGAACTCCCCACCTGATTTTGAAGCCCATCTTATTGTCCTCCACACCTCTCTGCCTGTGCAAACCCATGTTTTGCTGAGCGATAATCAGGCCAGTATATCCAAAAAGGAAGTGGCCACTTGGCTGGGAGGAACATCAGTCTAGGTACTCCTCAGAAGGCCCAGCACTGTACTTGCTGTGCCCATATAAGATATCAATGCAGACACCATTGGTAGGAGGATGGTCAGATGTAGGCCGAATTCTGAAGAATCAGTATTGGAGTAGAAACCACGTATGAGAACTGGAGTCCAAATGGCACTCTGCATGTGCTGTAATCATACAAGTGTGCTGTTTTGGACCGTGCTTTTAAACACTGTCACAGCCTGTATAGCACTCTCTATGGTAAAAAATGCATTGTTATTGTCCTGACCCACCCAAAGCCTCCAAAACCCAGGAAACATTGCAAGGGGGACTGCCTTAGCCCTACATTAAAGACAGAGTGACTCATCAGTCCATGTTGCAGGGCCATTTCTTTCCCAAACTACACCTATTACGATGCGTGCACCCTGCAGGGCCATCAGAGACTCCACGTCCCTCCCGGGAGATCATGATCCTGGACCTGTAGACCACCATGCCAGCAAGATCACTGGGTATTTTCTGCATGCTGAAGGCAGCTTCCAATGGATCGAACACCAAAGGGAAGACATAATGACATCCCCACACTTGTAGGATTCGGATATAGTCACCCTTGACATGCTGGCTGTAGTGACTGATCTGGATGGAGTTCATCTCCTCCCTGGAAGGGGTGTAAGGAACAGGCTCGAAGATGTAGGAATAAAATCCCAAAAAAGCTCTTTATAGATTGATATCTTGATATGTTTAAAGCGAATTATGTAAAAAACGTGAATTTAGTACTAACTCCTCTGCGACCGGTAACATACAATTAAAGTAGGAGTTCTGTGAATGGCAGAGGGAAACGGTGAGGGACACAGTGCTTTCCAATGGCTGCTATTAACCCTCCAGTGCCAGACATTCACAGCTGTGGGGGATCTCCAGCATCACTGAGAGGTGGATTACAATGCACGTCCCCAACGTTTTTCTTTAATAGACTTCGCGTTAAAACAATTTTTTTCCAAATGCCTGGTTTTTACTTGTGTTGAAAACAGAACTGTTGAGGACCACCTTTAAAGCTAATCTACCTCCAACTGCTGCATCACATACTATGCTGGTGACCTGACAGCCCTGTACACACAGGGGCAATTGAGTCACAGCGCAGAAAAATCTACCCCATGTCGTGTTCAGCAGTCAGTACCGCTGACAAACAATTCAATTGAGCTGCTGCAAGTGTAAAGGAACCAGAAGGGTAGAAGTGATCTTTTTATTCGCTCATTATCGAGTCCCTTAAAATAACACATCCAACAGCAAAGTCACAATCTTCCACAGCAGGTTTTTTTTTTTTTTTGTCTTTGTTCATTAAAAACACAAAAGACTCAGTAGCATTTTTTTTATTATATATGTATGAAACACTTAAAATCACAATAGAAACAATACAACAAGTCATATGGTGTACGTATGCAGTGCATACAATTTACATGCATATAATGTGAAATCACATAACAGTCATTGAATATCAGCCTACATAATAAACAAGGGATCACATATCTCTTCTGTCTGATCAAGCTAACCAAAATCCTTTTTCCCTGAGGTCACATTGACAATTCTCACAATCCTTACCCAACTTCTAGGTCATTCATTCTTTGCGAGTCTGCATAAACTATATAATGTATACATAGATTTATGTACATAGCTAAATATGTCAGTGGTGACCTAATGTGTCTGTGTTATAGGCCATTCTGAGAATCCATACAATAGTGCTGTGTGGGATTGACCTGGGAAGGGGAATGATGTGGCTTTAATGGATGAGTTGTTACATTCCCCAACAGCTTTCATTTGGATATCCAAAGGAAAAACTACCCAATTCACATCTTTTGGTGACCCTGTATAAAAATTCAGACTTCCAGTATAGGGTATTTACATTGAAATTGATGGAGGACTGGACCAGAACTGACAAAGGAATTAATGAAAGGGTACTAAGGCACCATACAATACCTTGTCATGACAATGGGCCATGTGATGAGCCGGTAACTAAACATCATTACGTATCACTATGGCTAAAAAATATACAACTTCGAAATGCAATTACATATTTAAAAGGGTCAGTTCAACCAACATCAAATATGTTTTCTTCTGATAAGAGCTCTATTTAGCTGCTTGTAGCCTGTGCAAGCATATTATGGGCGACTCCCAAGCTTACTAGTGCCCATCAAAGCAACACAAATAAGCGAATGATGGTGATTTCTATGGTGTAGTGTTGGCACAGACCTCCTCCAAACTTCTGAAAATACCTTTATTCTGAAAAGCTCTACAACACAAGCCACTCCAGTATTTCAGTCATTTGGTAGCGTGCAAGGATGTCCTTTTTTCCCCCCATGAGAAGTTAAAGCATATCTAAACCCAAAAACAAAAATGTAATACAAGGCAACCCACCAATCCTTAAATGAGGTAGCGTCATTTTTATTCTTTCCTTTCCCCTTTATTTTTACCTGTTAATGCAGCAAACTACACACTTCCTATCCTAGGTTAGCTACACTCTGTTGTATCTATGGAGGGAGTCATGGCTGCCACACGGGTTGGTTCATCTCAATTACATTGTGGATTGCTCAAACTATTAGGTTTCACAAAAAAATACAAGGATGGTTGTGCTTTCTTTTCAGCTCACAGAAAGCGACAAGGACACTATTATTTCTAGCAAGAAAAGGCATTTTCTACTTACTGAAAACATTATTAGCTTGAGGGAAAAAAACCCCCCCAAAAAACAAAAACACAGCTACCTCATTTAAGGACTGGTAAGCTGCAATATATAACATTTTAATTTTTGGTTTTAGATATGCTTTAAAATGGAAATTCAGTCAAAATCTAACTAAGGGTAAACCTACTC